AGAGACAGCCAGAGACCGGGCCCCTGAGAGAGAGAGAGAGACACAGCCGGGGAGAGAGAGAGAGACACACACGCAACCAGAGACTGGGCCCCTGAGAGAGAAAGAGACACACACGCAACCAGAGACTGGGCCCCTGAGAGAGAAAGACACACACACACACAACCAGAGACTGGGCCCCTGAGAGAGACACACACACAACCAGAGACTGGGCCCCTGAGAGAGAGAGACACACACACACAAAACCAGAGACTGGGCCCCTGAGAGAGAGAGAGAGAGACACACACACACACACAAAACCAGAGACTGGGCCCCTGAGAGAGAGAGAGAGAGACACACACACACACACACACACACACACACACAAAACCAGAGACTGGGCACCCTGAGAGAGACACACACACACACACACAAACCAGAGAGACTGGGCCCCTGAGAGAGAGAGACACACACAACCAGAGACTGGGCCCTGAGAGAGAGAGACACACACACACACACACACAACCAGAGACTGGGCCCCTGAGAGAGAGAGAGAGAGAGACACACACACACAACCAGACTGGGCCCCCTGAGAGAGACACACACACAACCAGAGACTGGGCCCCTGAGAGAGACACACAACCAGAGACTGGGCCCCTGAGAGAGACACACAACCAGAGACTGGGCCCCTGAGAGAGAGAGACACACGCAACCAGAGACTGGGCCCCTGAGAGAGACAGACACACACACACGCAACCATAGACTGGGCCCCTGAGAGAGAGAGAGAGAGAGAGACACACACACAAAACCAGAGACTGGGCCCCTGAGAGAGAGAGACACACACACAAAACCAGAGACTGGGCCCCTGAGAGAGAGAGAGAGACACACACACACACACAAAACTAGAGACTGGGTCCCTGAGAGAGAGCAAGACACAACCAGAGACAGATTTGTTCACTAATATAGCCTTGAATTTGAAATTCACTTTAAATTCTCACTTTTGTGAGTAATTCTCTGTGGGAGGCAGCCCTGGCATGAGAGAGATTCTCAGTGACTGGGAAACTTTGCCCCGAGAGAGATTGAGATGTAAGAAGGAGGAAAGAGTAGAGATGAGTAAGATTGAGATGGTTGCTGGATGACATTGCCATTGACTTTGGAGATTTATGAAACTTTAAAAAAAAGCAAAAAAAAAAAAAAAAGCTGTAGATTGAAGGCCAGAGTTTCCAAGATTCTTTGAATCTTTTCAATTCTTCCATTTGGGCTGAAACGTACAATTCCTATATTTAAAGAATATACCCCATAGTCGGGATAACATGGACTGACATTATAGTTGGGGTTATTCACTAACCCAGAAATTGAGGAGAAATTACAAAGCAACTGCAAATTAAACCTAAAGTTGTCAAATGGAAAACATTCTCCAACTTTTGAACATTAGCCATTTGGTACAAAATCTTGCATTTTTATTGTAATTTCTCCACAATTAGTACATAAATACTTCGGTTGAATTTATCCCAAACTACCAGAACGGTGCCTGGCAGAAATATTGGCAGACATGATGGGGTGTTTATTAACGAAACAATGGGTTATAGCACATTGAAACTCAGATTACAGAATTTGGGGCAAAAAGTTACTGCTTGGCTATTTTGTCCTGAATTCGGCAGTTCTATTGTCTTCACCACAGTTTACAGTTTAGTGAATAAACGTTGACAGTTAAAGTCAGCATGGGCTGTATAAGACTGGGCCTGGGAGAGTCAGGGAATCAATCAGATGGAATTATTAATGATCACTGGGAATAGGCTGTAACACCCTATACACTGTACTGGATACAGGCGGTACACACTCTATATTCCATATGTATGGCTGTACATAGTTTATCCAATGTTTGCTTATTATGCATAGTTATTACTCTGTATGCACATAGTATAAATTTGACATTTTGTGCATGGCAGTTACACATGTTACCAGTATAATGTAAACCCTTTATTTGAACTCTATATAGTGATGTTACATTGTAAATGAGCTCTCTACAAAAATTGTACACTGTAAAATGATTCTGAAATCAACACTGCTATTGAAAGTTGATTATTAATCCACTAGCTGCCACAGTGTTATTGGTTTATTACTCGGATTTCCATAGGTCAACTCTTTTTAATTAACAACCCTTTTATAGGTATGTTCTGTTTTGAACTAATGTGGGTTTATTTTCCAACTCTCTAAATTAAATGCTATATTTGACAGTTCAATGTTGCTCGTATGTTTTGTGATCGTACCAGTTTTTCTCATTTGATTTGTGGCAAGGGTTGGTTAAAATTTGTAGGGGAATTTGCATTTTTTGGGAGCAAGAAAAGTGTCATATTTCTGTGCATTATAGTCATATATTTCTGTCCGAGGCAGCAATAACACTGTATTAACTTGTGTTGGAACTGGATTCTGCATCCCACAACAGTTTCAGTTTTCACTTTGTTTGTGGTCACTGGTTTAACTTTTACAACCTTTACTGTGGAGTGAATCTATGTACATACCTTCTTTTCATATACTATTTTATTCCAATTTCTCTACTGTATGGATCTTCACCTGCGGGAGGAACCTGCTTTAGAGCAAAGATTTGTTAAAGGATCACTATAGTGTCAGGAAAACAAAGCGGTTTTCCTGACACTATAGTGCCCTAAGGTTGCCCCCACCCTCAGGGTCCCCTTATTCCCTCGGCGCTGGTGACCTCTCCTCTCCTGCCGACGTCAGCGGAGACAAATGCGCGAGCATTCAAAATGTCCATAGGAAAGCATTTCTCAATGCTTTCCTATGGACGCTCTGCGCGATGGAGGCATAATATGCCTCCAGCGTCGAAGATGCGCCTCTAGTGGCTGTCTAGAAGACAGCCACTAGAGGCTGGCTTAACTCCAAATGTAAACATAGCAGTTTCTCTATGAAGGGTTAAAACCTGAGGGACCTGGCACCCAGACCACTTCATTGAGCTGAAGTGGTCTGGGTGACTATAGTGTCCCTTTAAGCGCAGGGAGCTATTAAAAAAGCATAACAATTTTTTTTTAATTTTTTTTTTTTACATTTTAGTGGGTACTTTATTTGTGAAATCAGTGTGACCTCCTGCTAAAGAATATTTCCTAGTTCTACAGTGTATCTTAAGGGGACACTATAGTCGCCAAAACTACTTTAGCTTAATGAAGCAGTTTTAGTGTATAGATCATGCCTCTGAAGTCTATCTGCCATTTAGGAATTAAATCACATTTTTTTTTTTTCTGTTAATGCAAGCCTTGCCACACCTCACCTGACTGTGACTCACACAGCCTGCATAAAAAGAAAAATTGTTTCATTTTCATTCAGGTGATAACTTACTTTAGAAGGTTTAATCTCCTGCTCTGTGAATTAAACTTGGGTCACACACGGGAGGCTCCAGTAAGATCTAGCAAGTGATTATCCGTGCAGGAGATAAAAATTCTAAATTAAACAGATTGTGCAATAAAGGAAGTTTTAACATTAAATCTCTCTTAACAAGTGTTTAGGAAGGTTGTGCAAGTCACATGCTGGTAGGTTGGCTAGGGCTGTATTAAAACAAAAAATGATTTAACTCCTAAATGCCAGGGAATTGAGCAGTGACACTGCAGGGGCAGGATCTATACACCAAAACTGCTACATTATGATAGTTGTTTTGGTGACTAGGGTGTCCCTTAAATTGTCTCCCATGCTTTTGCTATCACCAACATGTCTAGTGCAATGAACTGCTAAATTGGTGAAGAGAAAAAAAAACACACAACTTTTCTTTCTAGGTTAAATATTGCGTATGCTTCCTGTCGCGTATCATCTTCACAATAGTTTGCCAGAAGTCATCTTTTTGCTGATGATTCCAGTTAGGGATGATAAAGGCTGAATGCAAGGTTGAATTCTGGCACTGTGCCTCTAACCTCGGCTATATTTCAAATACTTTGTGTACATCTGATAACATCTCCATTTAGTGCTGTCTGTTCCTCACGGGAAAAGCAGTGCACAAACACATTGGGTGCCAAATTTAACCTTCACTGCCTATATGCAAGCTTAGCATCCCGAGAAAAATAGTTTATAAAGTATCTGCAGTGCCATGGTTAGGCCATCACTGGGACTATTCTTAAAATAGTAACCTTTAATTAGAAGATTCTTTCCCAGAATCCCTAGCTACAGTATAATCATACTATTGAAGAGTTTGTATGAAATCAGGACTGCTGACTTCTCTGGGATGTACAATTTTTTTTTACGCACTATAAATACTATAGAATATATGTCAAAAATAAAGTGGTAATTTTATTTTTTAGCCTGATCTCCAGGTGTTTGTCTAAGCCTGCAATTTGAAAGTAGTTTACACACTGAAACTGAAAGAAATTTATATGGTCTTTCACAGCAACACTAACTTTTAAAATCAAAATTTGCACATCACTCATTTTCCAGTGTCCAGAATAGTCAAGAGCTGTGCAATAAACTAGCAGAGGACCTTGCAGCTGTATGCCAATATTGTAGAGTAGTGTGGGTTTGTCGCAAGACCAATCCTGTATTTTTCTTGGAGACTATTAAAGTATATTTTGACT